GGTCCGCCTCCGGTGGCTTCATCGGTCCCGGAGATCCCGTCTGTTCTGCAACTCTCTTGACCACTGAAGACCAGAACATCGGTGCGAATGCGAATGCACTCCAAGACTCCTCTGATGGTGTCGTGATTGAATCGGGGGGCAGGCGGGCTAGCCACAGAGTCGCGTCGATAGACGAACCCGTTGCTGTACCTCTTACGCCCAACCAGCATGCCACCCAGACAGGGAAGATGAACTCTGTGGTTGGTAGCACCCCTGGCAGGACTGTAGGACTCCGATCGATGCTTCCACCGTCAGCCACGATGCTCATGCCTGGCTCATTTGTGGTTGTGCATCCCTCTGCTGGAACCGCCGCCAGTGCTTCATCCCCCATGGCAACTGCGTCAGTGACGTCGATGGCAAGTGCCTCGCCTGCTAGCGCATCCGTTGGCCAGACGGTCTTATCGTTAGCCGAGCTAACGACACCTCATTCGATTGTGTGGCCGCAGGGTTTGCTCAAAGCCGATGCTAGTTCGTCCGAGACCTCTATGCGATGGACCAAAGTGAGACCTTAAATTCATATAGATTTGATCGAGTCAAACTTGTTACAAAATTTCTTACTAGAATTTTATCTAAGATTTCACATTTCTATACAATTGCTTTGTTTTTAATAGTTTCGGGCTAAACGTTTGAAAGTGGCTTCTTAAATCTTTAATTCTCCTCTAAGTTGTCTAGTTTTCATTAAAAAGCCCTGGGACCGATGTGGCCATACTTGGGAGAAGGATGTTCTCAAATGCTAGAATACTAAATGAATCCAAGCCTTGCTCTTCTCGTCCAGATTCTGATTTATTTGTGATTGCGTCCTCGAACCAGTATTGGGGTGTGAGTTCTAAAACTTCAAAAATCGGAAAATTGAATTTAAGTGAAGGATCGAAAGAATACTTGTATATGCCGTATGTAGTCTTACTTATTTATCTGTTAATTAAAGTTCATTTATTATGAATAGAATTTAGATTTTAAGATAATCACCATCTTTCAGTACAAAATTAAGCAGCATAGGA